GGAAAGAGTCAGACTGGCACCACACATTTTGAAATTCATGCTACAGGGACCTGCACCCACAGCAAATCAGATGAGGAGTTGAGTATGTCAAGATGTGTCAAGAATGCTGTGATTTCACCCTAGGTGTATGCACTACTAGTTCACATAAAATGAATTACTAAAGATCTCCTAGTACTTCTCACTGTCCCAGGGATGTTTACCTTGCTGTCCTGGCTGCTTTTCATCCTGGCCTGTTTCAATGGTATACACTATGTGACATCTCCTGACTTAGGCTGTTTTTAGAGCTGAGCTTTATTTCACATTTCAAAGTCATGCAGACACATTCTCTTAACCTCCTCAGCAATAATTCCTCCAAATGAGAGTCTCCAAACAGAGAGATACTCAATATTTTGTAGCACATTAATCAAATAACCATCCAGTTGTTGTCTTATGTGTCGGAAGTGGACGTGTTGTCAAATAAAATGATTTTGCAGATTATCCTCTATACTTCTCAGACAGGGAATTTAGCAACATCATGTGCACAGCCTCCTTTAGGAGAAGATCAATGTCTATTCATTTCATCTTCTGTTGCTTACTCAGGGAAATCTCATACTAAATGTTACTCCCCAAAGGAGCTTTCCCATTTATAACTTTTAAAACCAGTGGTTGTCTCTAAGTGCATGTTGAAAGGAGAACCTGGGCCGCCAATATCTGAGGGCAGCTTGCAATGACCTGAGAGAAAAAGGAGAGAGCAAGCAACCATCCTGACGTCTGTATGGCCAGGTGATCCCTGGGAATGCCAACTCCCAGCTTGCCCTGCTGCTTCACAGCCCAAGCCAAAAACATTAGAAAGGATGAAAGAGCTCTTCCCACCAATGTACTCACATGGGGATTGATACTGGACTATGCCATGGCTTGGTGCTGGCAGTGGGGTTTTGGTGTTTGCTGCCAGCTCCCAGTGGCATTTAATGAAGGCAGTTGATTACCAGGAGAGGCTCTTGGGTAGCATCTATTCTCTCTGCTTTCCAGCTGTCTGAGGTACTTCTTAGCCATGAGGAAGCTGCCAGAGAGGGAACAGCTGGGAAGTGTTCTCCTTTCCCCATGAGGAGCAACCAGAGGCTGGGGAGCAAAAGCTGCTCAGCTGAGCAAGGTGGGCTTCAGATGGCTTGCTTCCCCTTGCAATGAGCATGCCCCTCAGGGCTGCTGCACCACCAGCCCCTCTCGTGCCTGCCTCTGCTTCCATTAATTTAAAGAAGCTGTCAGGATGTTCTTGCAGCAGAATGTTCTGAGCCTCCTGCTACTGAGTGCTCTCTGCCTCTCGGTGTCATCCTGTCACATCTCTCGCATTAACGTGATGTCTTCCCAGGGCAGTGTTATGCTCCAGCTCTTCTCCCCATCCATCTCCTCTGCTGTCCGTGCCTTCCGAGGGGGTAACTCTCAGTAAGGCTGCAGGTGAGAGATGAGATTGCATGGGAGCAATCTATATTTGGCCTCCAAATGATTTGTGAAAGCTCAGGACACAGCTGTAGTTATGGTTGCTTTCATAGCCCTGGAGAGGAGCAAGATGCTCTCAGTGGCTAGGGAAGCTGCAGAGCCCAGGAAAAGACAACCCTCACCAGCTGTGGGGCTGGAGTGGGTGGCCTGATGGGCCACTATAACTGCCTTCCATCAGTGCTGACCTTTCTGCAGTGACAGTCACTGGATCAGCTGGCCAGCTGAGAGAAGGGCACTTCCCTACAAGGGAGAAAGCCCAGCCCCGTGTCCCCATCCTTGCAGGCAGCAGAGTGATCCAGCAGCAGGGATTCTGCTCTTCCCTCTGCCACAGAATCCCAGTGAAATGTTAACTGCTCCCTGTTATCTGGCACTGGGTTTGTGAGCCCTCCTCCTGGTGTCACTGCACAGTCCCTGAAACCTTCTGCTGTGGTACTCCTTTCCTCCTTGCATGGGAGGAGGGGGAGGGAGAGTCTGGTAACATGCTGGCTCTGGAGCAAGAGCAGGCAGCAGGTTGTTCAAACTCTACCCCAGACCCTGTGTGCCATAATTTGAAAGACAGGCTTTGGATCTAAGCCAAAGACAAGAGCCAGCACAGGGAATGGGATTTCCATGGTCAGTGCAGGAGTAGTTAGGACTTGAGAGTCAAACTGGAGGAGAACTGGATAATTTTGTGGTCATTAGTGATAGCAGAAGGAATGCAAGCTGCAGTGATGGTAATTAATTAGCTCTCCTATTTTCTGTTGCAAAATGGTGATTTTCAGGAGGCTGCTGGCAGTAGCAGCATCCTCAGGACGGGGATTGCAGCATCCTCAGGATCCTTGTTCTCTGAAGTGCTGTGGGATCAAAGATACTGGGTTTATTTAATGCCAAGGGCTACCAGCTGAAGCACATAAAGATTTGAAGTTTGGGGCTATTTTTCCAGACTCCACATGTGGGTACAGAGCTGGAGTATGGTGGGGTTCTTCACTGGCAGGAGGAGCAGCTGGCCTGGTGGCTCTTGGGGTTGTTCTGGGGCAAGAGAAATGCTTTTAAATTGGATCTGCCTTTTAATTTTAAGAACACAGTTCTAGCTGAGGGTTGGGGTTGACTGGGAGTCCAGGAGCTCTGAGGTGACCATTGCACACCCCTTTAGAGTGATTGCATTTATATGAGCATGTAGTTGTATGTGCCTATCAGTGCACACACAGATAATGCTGCATTTAAGAGGGTATGGGATCATCCCAGAATAAAAGCACCAATCCTTTCTCTCATGGGTGAGACTGCACAAAGCTTTGCAGCCACTAGGAAGGTGATGGGAGTGCAGAGGGCATTTCCAGCCCATGACAGTCCATGCAGCCCTGGCTGTAAGGAGGCAGCAGGCTGGCAGAGCCTCCAGCTTCTTTCCCTTGTTCTGTTTGCAAGCGAAAGCCAAGGGGCAGTGACTTCTGCATAAGGCTTGTATTTGCCGTGAAAGAAAACATGGCACAATGAGCTCTTCTTTGCCTACAAAATGCTCTAAGAAGAGCTTGAATTACACCTCTGGCTTGAATTACACCCAGCAGGGTGTTGCAGGGTCCCCAGGGCCTGTGCAGCGGGAAGGCAGCAGCATGGTGCCTCCAGGAGTGTGTGCTGGTGTGGCTGCTTTCCCTGTGTGTGTGTGTGTGATGGGTAGGTAGCATGGTGAGGGATGCCTGCTTCTCTGCTGGCCATCAGACCTCATTGTCCACATGCTGAACTGTGAGCTCCTGAGCCCCTCACTGGTTTGACAGGGAGATCAGGGCTATTTCTGGCTGATTTTTCACAGTGTGGCCTGCGTTTGTGCCTTTGGGTTAAACAGAAAGTTGTCCAGTGTCACTTGTAGGAGTGGGGCTTTAGTCTTTCTCAAGGGCCATGTTGAGCTTGTTCAGTGGGTGAGAAAACTTTGACTCTCTAATGTCCCCATTCAGCTCTTTACCTTCCTCCACTGTTGCTTCCCTCTTCCCTTCTCCCCTTTATGACACTTACTATTTTTCCATCCACAGCAAAACAGTTCACATCAAGGTAATTGATGATGAGGAGTATGAAAAAACCAAGAAATTCATCATAGAGCTGATGAGCCCCCGCATGGTGGATATGAGTTTACAGAAAGGTGTAGTACTGGCCCTCCAGACTAACATTAACGTTCTTCTTTCCTCTTCACTTCTGTCTCCTTCCTCCTCTTCTCCTTCTCTTCCTCTGATGTCTCTCTGTCTCCACCTGCTCTGCCCTAAACGCTGCTGTGCACACACGCTGTGTCACATGGTACCCATGGGGGGAGGGGGGCTGGGGAGAGGAAAGGGGGCGAGGGGAGCAGAGAGGGAAGGATGGAGAGCCTTCCTGCTCAAATGGATTTCTGTGGCAGCTTGAGAGGCACCTTCTGCCATCCCCACTGGAGGGTCCCAGCAAAATTTGTAGCATCATCAGGAAGATGCTGGCTAGAAACACATCCAGCATCTGAGAAGCCCTGGTCCTGTGGGGTGTCCTGGTCAGACTCATGTTAGATAAAGACAGGAATTGAGGTCTGCCAGAAAAGCAGCTTCTGTAGTGTCTGAGAAGGACTCAACAAAGGATGTGCAGCCCCTGGTACAGTTGCTGTGGAGAAGCTCTGTGAGCAGGAGGTGAGGGCAGGGGGGAGTGACACTGCATTGCAGGGGAGCTGGAGGGAGCCAGGTGAGCTGGCAGCAGGGAGAAGGGGCCAGCCCCACGCCAGCACCCAAGATAATTCCATTTGAGCACCAGAGACAAGTTAGTCCCATTGTCTCTCCCTGTGAGGTCCCAGTAATGCTGTGTCCTTGCTCAGGAAACAGGACAGGAGAAAGAGGCAGACGCTATTGAGGAGGAAAAGTAGTAAGACATGCCACTTTAAAAATGGAAATTAGAAATGTCAGCCTCCTTTGTAGCTAACAGAGCTGTAGCCTGCCAGCAGAGACCCACCTCATCCCACTGGGCAACATGTCTGAGTGCCCATCTCTCTCTCTTTTCCTCAGGCTCCCAGCCCAGGGTCCCTGCAGATTTATTATTAATTGTGAGGGTAGCAGAAGCAATTGATCTTCCAGCTAAGGTGCAATGGGAACTCTAGGATGGTCCCTGGTGGTTTCCAGGCAGCCGATACCCTTTCCATTACCATGTGACACTGAAAGAAGTGTGCTGCAGACGTCGCCTCCCACTAACCATCGGCAAGGTCTGACCCCTTCCTTTTCCCTCCTTCCTCACCCCCCTGGCCAGCCTCCTCACTCCCTGGCCAGCCCCTTCTCCCTCTAACCCCCTCTGGCTCCCAAAAGAGCAGCTGTGACGGATGCCCCGTGTCCACCAGGCAGGCTGACGCTCACCGCCCTGTGGGAAGGGGCTGCGGGCCCGGAGCCCACGCCGCCGCCACCTGCGCTGCCGCTGCTGCTGCTGCTCCTGCTCAGCTCCTGCCAGCTGACCCACTGTACACAGTTGTCTCTCTTGTTGTCCCTACAGGAAAACCGTAAGGGTTAAGATAATAGATGAGGAGGAATACGAAAGGCAGGAGAATTTCTTCATTGCCCTTGGTGAACCGAGATGGATGGAACGAGGAATATCAGGTGTGAGATCCTTTATGAAAAAAAATGAAAAAAAAGAAAAAAAATCAGAATCAAGTCTCCAACCCCCAAATCCAGAAAATATAACCCTCTTTCTCCTCCTTCCCCCCCTTCATCTTCTTCTTCGCCTGTAGATGGATCAGCTTTTACTCTCTGTCCTCCTCTATTCCGGCTTTCACCCTGTTCCAGTGTCATCTCTGCCTTTTAGAGCCCAGCTTATTTCTGATCCTCCTTTTGTATAATGCTTGAGCCTCGGTGGCTGTATTTTTTTTGGTTTGGTTTCCTTATCTTGATCTCTTGTTTTGTTCTGAGCACACCTTTGCTGTTCTCCCCTCTCCTGCTACTTTGCCAGGACCTTGGGGAATGTGAAAGGCAAGAGAAAGGCATAATGCATGGCTACCCCTTCCGCTCCTCCCGTAAGCTCCCCTGTCCTTCCCTCTGGTGTTGCCTGCCAGTGGCATTGCTTTGGTACTCTTGGGTCTTTATGAGGCATGATGAAAGCCCACGGGAGAAGAGAGAAGGTGTCTGATGTGTCTTTTAGCTTCTGTTTTGAAAATGGTTCTCCATGTCTTCAATCTGAAAAGCCCCTTAACGTGTGGCAGACAATCACAGCCTGTTGTGCAGAGAGTGTGGAGCTCTGCTGAGGTCCTGCTTCATCAGCAGCGAGAGCCAGGCTCTCCCAGCAGAGCAGAATGACAGTGGGAGTAAACCTGACTTACGGTTGTCCCTTGCCTAGATGTATTTTTGTCTTGTCCTCTATATGTTTGACTCCTTTGTCACTGAGCGAATCCTGCCTTTGGTTTCATCAGCTTTGGGGTGGCTTGGGAGGGCCAGGATTTTAAAAGAAGCTCTACAGAAAAGGGAATTGAAATCCATATTTTGGGTGTTTTAGAAGGAGTAGAGACAGACGTGTGCCCACAAGCTTATTTCTCCTCCCATGTGCTGCTGCAGGTGATGTGAATACCTGACAGTTGCCTGTGCATTGCACAGCTTCCCCTTGCTGAAACATCTCCTGTTTCTTATCTCACCAGCACAGCAGCTACCCTCTGGCCAGTCCGAGCTCCCATGCACGGCTCAGCAAGACGTGCAGGATAGACACAGCTTGCATTAGCATGACAATGTCATATAGCATCCATGGCTTTGTAAAATGAAACCCCTAAGAGGATTCATAGCTTTATGCCATTAGACCGTCTCCTGCAGCCTGCTGGCAATGAGGGACATAAGGTTTCATTGTGTGCTGGGCACAGACCCTTGGGTCTCACCAAAGTCCAACTGACCCTGATTGGAAGCAGCAACCAACCTACCATATCCCATGGGGTATGTCCCAGTTAATTGCCCTCCAGGGTGAAGATACGGGCATAGCTTCAAGGTAGAAGTTGCCTCAGCTTGTAGCCACTACTTTCCTACTTTTCTCCATCAGATTTAAGATGTATGTAGAGTGCCATGGCTCCTCTGTAGGGACCTGCTCACTATAGCCTTATTACACTCAGATTTCTTTTTGGAAGTTTAAGGAGATTAAGCTCTTTGAGTCTTTGCCTCCAAAGTGTCATACTAGAGAGTCTCCTCTCCACACATGCCCCTTTCCATCCTCAGGGCTCCCATCTCTGGCTCTGCAAGTACAGGAAGGAGGAAAATCACCTGCTCTTGGCTTTCACTTTCTTATGCTTTCAGCAGCCTAGAGCATCACCAATGAATTTCTGCTTGGTTTCTGGTCTCTGTAAGCCCTGCATCCTTCTCTAAACCAGTGAGCTTCAGGACAGACAGTCAGGATCGGAATGTTTTTGTGAAGTCCTGCCTTTCTTTATCCCATATAGGCCACTTTGCATCTGGCTGAATAAATACACTTAATTGAAAAAAATCCAAATAAGCCCTAAGGTGATTCAGCTGTGGACTGTCCTCATCATTATTAGGACCACAATGCCAGTTTGTCGTATTGTGGGTGTCTCATTGACACCAGCATCAGTTGGAGTCAGTGGGGCTGTGTGATTTGCAACAGGTGCAGCAGAGAGCAGAGGTTATTGAGTGGTCTGTGGCACAGAGTGCAGGGCAGGTGCTTCCCCACCAGCCCCTTCCCTGGCTGGTGCTGAGGACACCCCCTCCCACCCACCCTCTTTACCCAGAGGATGTGGAGGACCATGCCAAGGAGGAGATGTGGAGCCTTCGTTGGCCTTGTCAGAGAAACGCCAGAGGGAGAGAGAGCACCATGGTTTTAAAATCTAAGAGGCAGGAGATTAAAATGCATTTGTAAATGTTGCTGGCACAAGGTGGCACAGTTGATACTCTAATTCCAGGGCATCTGGAAAGATCCCTGGGGCTGTGGCATCTCCTACAAATATACCTTGTGCCCAGGATGAAGAATTAGGAGCTACATGAGGCTTTCCCTTGCAAAGCATTGGGAGTGATCAATAGCAGATGCTGTCACGAGCATCTTCACAGGGCGCACACATGAGCAGCTGGTTCTGTGCAGAGAGGAGCAACCCGGGACACACAGGGGCTGGCACAGGCTCAGGGAAGAGCGCAACTCATTGTGCAGCACAGGGAAGGGACACCAGTGCTGATGCACACACGCACCTTCCTGCTGTAATTGCACCGTTGCAGGGACAGGGTTTAGGTGGTTTATTCATTGCAAAGCACACTGTGACAGGTACAGCCCTGTGAGCTGCATGGTCAGCCCTGCTGCCTGGGTGCATCCGGGCGCCGCAGCACTATGTGGATCCTGCCCCTGTCCTGCATACACAGGTGGGAGGAAAATCCTAAACCATGGCCAATGATCTGGGACTTTACTTGGTTTTGCTGTGGTGATGAATGGTCCCCCACATGACTCACATGGCAAGGACAAAGCACAGCTCCTGCCTCTCCTGGGAGGTTCAGGCTGGGTTGCTTTTGACAAAGAGTCTCTCTGGGTTTTGGCTACCCACACATTTGTTTACAGCACTGAAAAAGATGTGGGTTTCCTGACAGTGAGTCTTCATTTTGTTGTTACTCCCCATTTAGCTCTGTCACAATGAGCCACTGCCTAGGGTGCTGTAGGGGTATTAAATATTCTCAGATGGGTCTTTGTAATGTCTTCAGAACATGTCTTCTGGCCCTGTTGGGAACAGGGCATTGTTGGGCACCTCAGCTGACTGGAAGTTGTGTTTGGAAGTAATCTGTGACCCAGGTCGCCAGAGGCAGCCAGTCTGTCACAGCTGTGCCTGCACTATCACAGCTTTGTTCCAAGGGCCTCACCTTGAGGACACAAGCTTGGTAGCAGTGATGAAATCAGTGACGAAATGTGGTGCCCTGAAGGGCAGGCAGAGCTGACTGCAGGGCTGGCGATCAGGGGAATAGATGTGTACTCTTCAAACCAGCCTGGGGCAGAGTTTGGACAGTTTATTTTGGATGCAGAACTTGTTCTGGAGCTCCATGCTATTAAAATCCCCTGTACTGTCCCTGAGGGTACCCACACTGCTGCTGGCTTCAGTGGCAGCAGTTTCTGGTGGACGTGCAGCAAAAGAGGACAGCAGGCAAGAGCAGAGTTTGCTGCCGTATGCTTGATTTGCATTACTGGCCGCCCTGTCCCATCCATGTGCCAGTGCAAAGCAGGTGCTACCATTCAAGGGAACATCTGCTTGCCCTGACCATAGCTATGGGGTACAGGGAAATGATCTTGTCTTGGGCTGCACAGTTAGGTGAGGCTGTGTATCTTCAGGAGGGTCTCTGTGAGGGCCATGGCTCAGGAGGAAATTAATTCTATTGTTCTTGCTGTTTGCACCTGCCAACAGTTTACCAAGAGATAACACCTCTACTCAGGAAGGTACCTGTCTTGGCCAAAACACAAATTCATGTCTTTGGGTTGTTTAGGACTTTTACACCACCTAACAGCCACTGAAACAGCCTTTTGACTGAAGCATTTTGCATCATCTGTAAATGCTGCTTCTCACTCTTCACCCCCAGTTATTTCAGCGCTGTGTTGCTTTGATCCTTGGGGCACTCAATTGTTAACCCTTGCCATAAGGAGAACTGGTCACTTACTCTTGCTCTTTGCTTTTCCCCTATATTTAAATGTTACACCTACAACACCAAACCTTGTCCTGCAGCCCATTATTGTTTTTCACCAGTTGCTTTCTGAAGCTGGAGTTTTTCAAAGACTTTCTGATCATCCAAACAAATCACATCAAGTCGTTTTACCTGAGCAGCTCTTTTTGTTGATGTGCGCTAATGATTTAAAGAGATTAGAACAGATCTGTGATGGGTATCTGGCCAGCCCTGACTGTGAGGAAGACTGATACTGACTCAGTATCAGATGCATGGAGCACTGGCAAAGATGGTCCTTGCCACAAGCTGGTTATATCGAATGAGTAAAAATAAATCAGAGAGACTCACATTCTTTTCTTGGGAAACCTCCCAGCACCCTGAGCCACCTTTCTGGCTATTCCTTTTTCAGTACCTTTTGAAAGTGTTCTTGCAGTGAAATGAGTCTTTTCCTTTCTGACAAAATGTGGTCTGTTGATTTGACTCTTGCTCTCATGTCAGCTCATAACTTGGACCAAGGATTTTGTTGCTGTCAGCCCAGAAGGATTTTAGAGAAATGCTTCCTACTCACATCAGCTTTCACACTTTGTCTGCAGTCCTGGATTACAGGAGAAAAACTTGCTTTGCTTTCCCTGGATGAAGTTGGTCTTCTGCTTAAATTGTGGTTAGCCTTAGTGTTGATCATAGAACCACAGAATGGTTAAGGCTGGAAGAGACCTTAAAGATCATCATCTAGTTCTAAGCCCCCTGCCATGGCCAGGGACACATCCCACTAGAGCAGGTTGCTTAAAGCTTCATCCAACCTGGCCTTGAACACTTCCAGAGAGGGGGCATCCATAATTTCCCTGGATGACCTGTGCCAGTGTTGAAGCCCAAATGGCAAGTGAGGCTACTCTGGAAGATTTCACTTGATAACAGGTAATAGTGAAAATAGTATTTGGAACTTTATGTTTCACAAGGGCAGTTGGGAGTGTGCTCATGAGAATTCAGCTCATGGCACAGTGGTGGAAGATTCAACCTCAGGGCTGGTGCATGAAGGCTGAGTCTTGAGGGTAATGCTTTGTAAAAGGGTTTGGCATCCTTAGTGCAAAATTTTGCTTCAGAAAGCATGTCTCCCACAAGATGTGACTTCACTGAAAATGGGAGCACAGATGGCTGGCAAGCACTAATAAACATCTTGCTGGCATGACCTGGCTTGGGAAGAGTTTGTCTGAAGTCTTCTCAGCTCTCCCAGCACAGAGACAACTGGTGTGGACAAATCTTGTAACACATCTCCTTTGAAACTAGTGTCAGGGAAAGCTTCACACCCCAGAGGGAGGATGTGGATGGGAGTTGCAGGGTAAGGATTAAACTGTGAAGGAAGAAGGATTCATAGCTTGGATTGATCCAGCAAGTTATCTATATCAAAATATTGATGGGATTATGTGACTTGGTACAGAGGTCTGTCCCTGGATAAGATAAGCTGCATTGATACGTGAGCATACAAGCTGCAGTTTGCTGAAGTGCCGGCAGATGCTGAGAAACTCCTTCTTCCATTAGCTGCTGATGGCAATTGCGAAGAAATGTTAGCTTGCTGTTACCTCCTTCCCCAAAGGTTTAATAATTTGCTTGCAGCTCTGTGATTAAGCTGAACACTGCTGATTCTCCTGATGGAGGCGAGTCTCTTGGAGTCTGCAAGAGCTTCACTATTGACTTCAATAATAACAGCATTCAGGTTAATGCTGCAAAATCTCTGCCCTTTTGTAGCCTTAGCTTGTTTATAGCTCTTCACAGTCCGCTAGGGAAACAGTTTGCTCACTTCTGTGAGCAACTCTGGAGGCAGAGCTTGTGAACAGTTACATCTGGAAGATGGAGGATCCTTACCTCTTTGGAAAACTGAGCCCCCAGTCTGCATGGTTGCTGAGGTCCTTTGGGTGCACATGGGGTGCAGGCAATGTATTCTCCTTGCCTTTGGCTGCCTGTGACTCCTTGTTGTCTGAGAGTCTCCTCAAAATCGAGTCTTCTTTCCCTCATTTCAGGTCACTGTGTAAATACCAGGCCTTTAACAAGGACCCTGTTATCTATGCAGTGGCTTCCTGGAGTCTTTAGGGATATCGATTAGAAAAGATCTGTGTTAATGAAGAATGAGTCCTGAATAAAGCATGCAGAGTGGACAAATCTCTCTGAGGTAAACAGTAGGAAAAGGTATTTAACTGTTTAGAAAAATTCTGGGACACACATTTAGCACAGGCTTTACAGGATAGCCCAGTTTCTCTTCTGCTCCTATCCCAAGCCCAGTTCCTCTTTGTTTAACCTTCTTTGGCCTTGGTTGAGTTAGAGCAGGAGAGAATTCAAGTCCCGATCTGTACCCACACCAACATGCACATCACAGCAGGATTTCACCCCAAAGGACATTGAAAACATGCAGATGAAATAATTTATTAGCAATTAACTTTTAGCAGCTAAATTCAGGTCTAAATTGTCCTATTCCAAGGGTGGAGGGGAAAGCAGAGTTCATGCATGCAGTTTTGACTTGGCCTAGTGAAAACTAGGCCTGCAGGGCAGAGAAATCCCAGTAGAGGAGGAACTGGGATCCAGAGCTGAAGGCTTGGGGTCTCCTGAAAGAGTGAACATCACCCTGTCTGCAGGCACGGATGTTTGGCTGCATTCAGGCTGTGCAAGGGTTAGGTAAGGGATACTTGAGACTGCTATTTTGGATATGACTGTAGAGCTAATTTTAGCAGCTCCCTCTAAGAATATGCATGTCAAGCCTCTAGGACTACCTGAGATGCCAACAGCAATGAGGTGGCCTGGCTTGGCCCCACGAGGAGTGTGATGTGCTGAGCAGGAGCGCGGCAGAGGGAGAGGTGCCCTGGGGAGGGATGCAGCCTGGGATGGGCGGGGCAGAAGGACACTTGAGGGATGGGAACAGCACAAGGGCCGTCGGCAGGGCTGCTGCAGGTACAGCATCCCCAGATGGACTGTCAGGAAACATTACAGGTCAGGACTAAGGGCACATTAGCAGATGCGTGTGCAGGAAGGAAGCTTTAGTCCATGAAATAATTTTCTTGCTTGCATGCACAGCATTCACTCAGAATATAAAGATAAAAGAATCCCTTGGCTTTCTGCATGCTATATTCTGGATGTTTCATTCCAGCTTTATAGGCTTCTTCAAATATTAATGTATCATATCATAAGAGAAAGGGAGAAAAATAGTTCTATTGCAGGCTCAAAAGCAAGTGGGAATTAAAAAAATAAACTCAAATCCCAGAGCACTGGAACAACAGTTTTAAAAAACATGAGGAACCAATGATTTTTTATTTTTTTTCTTAATAACCATGATAGCTTAGGGGCCCAGTAATATTTCATTATTTAAATTTAAACACCAAATTGATGCATTATAGTAATGCTTGTAATTGCAAAAGACAAATTAAATTTCCCCACATTGTCTGGAGAACCAGAAGACCATGAAGTAGTAAGGAGGCCACAGGGTAGCATGGAGCTGCAGCAGGACGGAGCTAAAAGGAGACTCAAGATTGGTGCTATGAGGAGCAGTGACAAGCCTGTTGGAGACTTAGAGGCAGAGCTGTGTGGAGGACAGGAGATGGTGTGGACAGAACAGGTTGCATGCTTCTCGTGGCTCAGCGGCACTGTATGTGCTGCAGAACATATTCACAAATGGTTGCCCCAAAGATTTTTTACTCTGGATGGGACAGATTCTGAAACACAGATGCTCAGCAAGAACCCTGTTCATTGCCCCTTTCCCTGTGCCTCTACCAACCTGCATGGACAGCAGAGATCACTCCAGGTGCCCAGGATGTTTCCAGCTGAGCAGATGGATAGGTGGATGAAGATCTTGACTGGGCCAGTGTGTCTCCGCAGGCTGTCAGGAAAGCTGTGCCCATGGGTGCTGCCTGACAGAGCAGAGACGTGACTGGGAGCTGGAGCTCAGGATTACTTTCCCTGGTTCTGCCACTGATGTGCTGTACAACCTTTGACAAATCGCTTAGGAAATCACTTTCAAACCAACAGTGATACAATTAGGTGCCTCTGTATAAAAGCACTTGCTTTTCAGAGGCCTGAACTGGCAAACCTAGGTAAATTAGCACTTTTGGACTTCAGCCCACTTCTGAGTTTGCAAAATGTTCCCTTTAGCCTCTCTTTGCTTGCTTCACCATCTGTTAAATGGGGCTGTTTGTTAATACTGACTCAGTCTTTGTACAGGATTTTGAACTTCTGAGGCTCACAGTGTGTGGCATTAAGTGTTAGTAAAATAATAGCATCATCACATGCAACTGAGTCTTTGGGGAGTGGTTTGCTGTTTGAACGACAAGGCTAAGGCACAGAGCTGGTGCTTGGCCCCTCTTGAAGAGGGTTCAGTGTTCTTTGCAATATGGACTGTCCTGTAGTTAGTTTGAAATTTGTGTGCAGGCTGTAGCTTTCTAGGGGTAACACCTAAGAGGGATCCTGGCAGAAGTTTCTTTGTGACAGCACTTGGGAGTGGGGAAATCAAGGCAGGAGAGGGCCAGGAGGTCACTGCCCAAGGCAGCAAGAGGGCCATGCTGTGCCTGTATGGAAAGCCAGGCTAAGGTCATCCCTTGCCAAGAACCTTCTCCCCCTTCCCCTGCCTTCCTTCTAGTTTCAATCTCAGAGGACCATGTGGTCACATTTCCCAGGAGGCAGCTGAATCCCAGGGAAATAACATTGCCCCTGCAGCACTGTTGGGCAGACCAGCACCTGGGGGCAAAGGGAACCAGAAGGACTCAAAGTGATGATGCTTAAGGTGTGCCTGTGCTCCCTGACCCTCTGGGAGTAGTACCTGTGGGGCACAGGATAGGGGTAGGTGAGCCAGGACATCCTGGGGAATGTGCACAACTGTGTTACCCCCTGCCCCATTTCACACTGGATGCCAACCCCCGTTTCATCAACATCTCCCCTGATGATGCTCTTCTCAGTGAGCTGCCCATCGCCCCACCACCCACAGCCACCCACAGGTTTATGGGAGCCTCCCTGTTTATGCCAAGCCCAGCTACAAACACACCCCCCAGCTGAAGCAGGGGTACCTCCCGTGCCTTCAGGTCCCTTTGGATCACAACAGGCCCCAATGACAAGCGTAACCACCTCCCCCCCACCACTTTTCCTTTCCACTCCCCGCTGCTCCACATCCACATCCCATTTCTCCGCCTGTGCTTGGGGGGGGGTGTGACTTTGGGGAGCCAGCATCCCAGTGGTCACCAGGCTCCTCTCCATCTCCCTGCCTCGGGGTCTGCTCCTCAGCCTGCGCCCAGCACGTGCCCCCGGCGAGCTCGCACGCAGCCTTGCGCCATGTCCATTGCTCACTGATACCTGCAAAACAGCTTGTCCCCCAGGATATTAACTGTTTCCCTCTTTTCTTCTCTCTCCCCATCTTTCTCGTGTTCTTCTCTCCCCACAGCCCTGCTGCTCACCCAAGGTAAGTGCTTTTCCTTCTTTGCCTGCTCTGGCTCTGTTTTCCTCCCTTTTGGTCAGCTCCCACCATGTTTGTGTTTGCTGTGTTGTGGGCAAGCCCAGCTCGTGGTGTTCTTGTCCAGCAGAACTTAGTTAAAGGCAATGCATTAAGAACATGATAGTGATTGATTGATTGATTGATTGATGTCTAAGAGCCTTCACTATATTCCAGATTTTTCCCCAGGGTTTTGGGAAATGACCCATCCAAGGTTGCAAAGCAGAACATGAAGCTCTGACTGGTCTAGGGCTATGACACAACCCTCTCTTCAGTCAGCTCTGAGGCTTGGGTTCTGCTGATGCACGAGGGAGCACAGGGCTTTTCTGCACAGGTGTGGCACTGCTGTGGCACAGGGCTGGTGAGATTGCAGGGCTGCAGAGGGTTCCCCTTCAGCCTCCAGCCTGCGGTGCACGCACCCGGCTGCTTTCCACCTCCCATCCTGGAGGGTCCCAGGGGTGCACCCAGCACAAGGGCAGCACTACCAGGGCATGTTAAGTATCAGCACTTCTTCCCTCTCACCCTCAGCTCTGGCTCTGCACTATTCATCTCCTTCCCATGGCAGGATTTCACATTTATTAACACTGAGACCCCCCTCCTTCCTTGCCCAAAATCCCTGTTAGACTGGTCTCTCTTGATCCCACTGAGGTGCAGTGTACGCCTCCTGTATTTTCTATTATTCCTTCAATTCCAGATATGATTACAGTTGAATTTGCACTGAAGAAACATTTGTCAAAAGATAAGGGCAGGCATACAGGGCGCAGAGAGAAGCTCAAGTCTGACAGGTTTGCAAGCAGTGCTGAAAACCGAAGTGTTCATCACGCCTGAGCTGTGCTGCACATCAAAGGAGCAGCATCTGCCGCACAAGCTTCAGTCTCTGCTGCTTTTTGGAGGATGCCAGGTCTGCTGCACAGGGGATGGCCTGAACCCATTGGCTGTTGGGCTAATTAGAAAACTGCTAGTGGCAGGCAGAAGTCCCCAGTTCCCCAAATATCAGCTTAGGATGTTTGTGGAAAACTCCTTGGAGCGATTTTGATGGGTTTTTTTGTTACTTCTTCAGGTCCGGGAGGACTGGAAATAAGTTGAGTACAGCCTCCTTTCCAGTAATTTCATTGCTTTAATTCAGTGGCTGCCTAATTTGATCAGAACCCTGGGAACCAAATCATTTCTATTTAACATAGCTTTCCTCCCTCTGTTGTGATCCAGCTTGATTGCTTTTGGCAGCTCTTATTGGAGAACTTGATCACCAGCTATTGAAAGTTGCTTTTAAAGAAATGTCTCCTCTCTGTCTGGTGCAGCAGGGGGGGGAGTCCCTAGGGTGCCCCCCTTGCCAGGCTGTCCTGGGCCACCCTCTGTGGCGCTTTGCCCTACATATGCTTGAGGCAGTGACTGGCCAGCGAGCAGAGCCCTGCTTGCCACAGAGGCACATGTTGGAATGTCACTCAGTGGCAATCACAGCTAATCAGCTGGGAGAGAAGTAATGTCCTCGTTTAGTCCGTGCCATGTTAGATTTAGATTACACAGACTCACAGGAATCTTTGTAAAAAAACTGCATTATTGAACATTTTGGTGGAATCTGTTGGTTCCGCTCACTTGTCCCCTCCCTCCTGAAGCAGCTTGCACAGCTTTTCCCAGGCTGTGCCACTTTCTCAGGGCTTCCTCCCTGGGCACTCTGGCTCTCCTTTGCAGCCCTGGGGTGATCCCCCTCCCCTAACACCTTTTCAGCAGACCCCTTGGGGCCAGCTGGGACCTGGCCTTGCATACTGCTGTGTCCCTGTTGCTTTGCAGGAGGCCTGGGGTGCCCCGATGGATGAGCCCAAGTGAAAATGCCTCTCCTGTCCCAGCAGCCCTTACCTAGGAGATCTGAGATCTGCCCCCCCTCTTTGCCTTGCAGAGCCCTTCCTGGGAAAACAGGGCTGTGAATTTTACATAAAGCTAAGTCAGAAGGCAGGGGAGAGCCTTTGGCACAGGTTCAGCTCAGCATTTGTTTCTTCCAGATGGGCTCTCTGAGCCAGACTTGCAAGGCTGTGCAAAGCTTTGAAAGCCTTGCTTGGCCAAGTGTCCAGTCCCAGCTGTTGGAGCTACAGAGGACCACAGGACTACAGGGTGGCTGTGGAGTGACTTGAGAGTCAAACCTGTGGGGTTTTCTTAACTTCTCTGTTGCATTTTTTTTGTTTGTTTTGGGACCAGCAATGATCTTTCCATATACTCTTTATGCAGGGAAATATTCAATACCAAAGTGTATAGCTACTCGCCTGGTCCCTGCCATTGCCAGCAGTGGATGAGCTGCTCTGGTGGTCTTTCCAGCCTTTGCAAAAGTCACTGAAAGCCTGAGCACAGCCTTGGCTAGCAAATTTTTGGGCTCAGAAGGTTCACATATTTAAAGGGATGAGGAATTATCTAAATACTTCTCTATCCACATTTCCACATACCCAGATCGAAGAACGTATTTCCAAATACATTTATTTATGCATTAAAACTCATGGGTCCACTTTGCAGTGGGGAGCAGAGACAGCTGCTGACTGGCCTGCTGGGGTCTGTCATGTCAACAGCAATCTCGAGGCAGAGCCAGCAGGGCAATAATGTGCAGTTCCCAGCCCTGTGCCTCAGCCTCCCTCTCATGAATGTGCAGGGCTTCCCAGTTAGCGTTAAGGACGCCGGGGCATGAATATGGGATCTATCGCGCCTCAAAAATAGCTTTGAGGGCTAAGTAAGCAGAGTCCTCCCTTTTTAGAAAACAGCCCAGGCTGCTGGTGCGTGTGCATGTGTTTCAGTAAAGGGCATATCCATATGCTAACCTCCAAAGCCAGTGTCTTTTAGCCAGCAGTCTTCCCCAGTTGTGACTGACAGCTTAATGGTGCTCTGGAGAGAACGCATTCATGCTTACTGTTTACTTTGTTTAGCCAGGGTTATATTTTATATTTTATTGAGCAGCAACAACAACAAAACAAAAAACAAAAAACCCCAAACAATAACAATCCCATTTTAATTGTCGTTTTAATTTCTTCCTAGCAGTGTAGTCCCCAGAAGGGGTGACCTTCATGCAGATACATGCCTACTCTAGAAATGGATGGAGATGAGATAGCTCGAGGGGTGTGAAATGGCCTTCATAGCAATCTTTCATGAATTGCTGGTTTTAATCCAATTTATTCAGCGAGAGACAGGGAATAAAAACTGGCCTGTGGCTGTTTTGTAGTCTTGCAGCATTTCCTAGATGATGGGTAGCTACCTCTCTAGTGGTGTTACAGGGACTTTCCATTGCCTCTTTCAGCTCAGAAGGTGTAGTGGCCAGATTAGCTCATGGAAATGGGCTTTATATAACTTTGATTCATGATGTGTCCTAAGGTCCACAGGCAATATCCAGTTCCTATTTGGTCACCCCAGTCTGAAGGAGACTGAACTAGCACTTGTGGAGTACCTGCCTTCCAGGAGCAATGTGTCATGTGGGAACACTGCTCAGTACTCCCATTTTCCCTAGAAAAAATTAGAGGAAGAGGGGATCTGCTTACAGTATTTTGAGCCCAAGAAACTGCCTATCATGTGCAGGTCGGAACGTGCTTTGCAAATAGCTGCAGATTGAGTCCCTGGATGGCCCTGCAGGTGTACTGGTGAGAGCTGAGGGTGGCAGGGCTGCCAGGCACAGCAGTGGCAGGACCATAACTAGGAGCTGCTCCTTCCCCCCTGCATCTGTCCTACCTTTAAAGGTCTGAATTGACCCTTTATGAGGCAAAATAAGTGAGAACATGGAGAGGTTTAACCAAAAACCTCTCCTCGCTTCCTGCAAGCGTTGGGTCCAGTGCCTAGAAGGTGTCAGTGTAGTCATTGCTATAGCCTGGGCAAAAATTGACTTCATTTTCATTCCTCCCACCCAGGCGTTGACCTTACCAGTCCTGCTTGGTAGCATCTCCTCCCTATCCTGTGGGCTCCCTGGCACGAAGAGCAGAGCGCCTTGGTGCAGCACCTGGTGCAGCAGCCCCAGCTTGCCTGGGTGCAGCAGCCCCAGCTTGCCTGGGTTCGGCAGCCTGTGCATGTGCCTGTGGCCCAGATAAGTCACTAGCACTCGATGGTAGCCCACACTTACACTCCAGAGCAGGCTGGGTTTGGGGAACCACTCTCTCCCTGCCTTCCCATTTTCAGGGAGGAGGTGAAGGCAGCCCAGGAGGTCCTGGCAAGCTCCTCTTCTTGCTTGGAATAGCCAGACCTTATCAGGCTTAATTGGGGTTGACAGCAGGGAGTCCAGGGTGCAATCCGCATTGAAAAGTAGGTACTGATGCTGAGACAAACATAAATCAGGCTTGTTAATAATTAAGCTGCAGCTTGGCAGCATTCACCTTGACAGACTTGACCTTCCAAATTAAAAGTCTGTCTCTCCTCCCTGCCCCTTGTGTTTTATTCATCACAGCCCTTGATAATCATCTTTGCAGGCTAACGTGCCAGGGTGATGTGTGGCACACCTCACTGATGTCTGTCCCTGCTTCCTGGAGGAGCCCTCCAAGACCCCCATCCTTACACCCAGTCCCTCAGGAGATGGGGACCTGTGGCTACCATAGCCTGTATGAGAGCATGCTCCCTTGCTGCAGAGACAGTGGCCTCCTGAGGCTCTAAAGGTGCTCTGTGCTACTGACTGAAGGGCTTCTCTGGAAGGCAGGAGCATTAGGAGTGTGCTCTGTCATTGGAATTTTGCAAGTTTATTCCCTCTCAGCTCTTGACTCTACACACAGGGCTCAACTCGGTCCTCAGCACCCCATGGGAACCTAAGAAAGAGGTATGATGTTTTGCAGAGGTGGGCACTGATTCGTGGGGGGAAGTGGTGGATTCATGTAGGTGCTTCACATTGCTCTTTGGAGGTGCTTAACTCTGCCCTTACTTGTATAGTGAGTATAACTTGGGACAAGACACATGTCCAGTGCTTTCTTAAGCTTCCCCTTACAGCCACAAATGGCGCTGCTATAACTTCAGAGGACAAACAGTCACCTGGTATGTGGCACCTATAGGTGTCTTGCATGAGTCCATTGATCAAAATCCAGCACAATATTGACATGTGACTCAAACTCAGTTTGTCTCCTACATTAGGACAGAGGCTCAGTAAAAATACCTTGCCAGGTTCAGTGTTCTCAGATGCACCTTTGAAGCTGGTTAGGTTGCTGTGCTCTGCTTTCCTGTTGCACATTCAAAAATGTGACTGCTTTTTAATGAGGTGTGAAGGAATTACCTCCTTTTTTCATTTTCTGCAAGCTTCCTCTATTAACATTTCTGCAAGGTACCCATTTGGAGATGCTGCCTGTGTCTGTTCTCCTGCAGCTGTTACTGAAAGACAACCTGTGAGCTATTCAATCATCTGCCCCCCTTGAAGTGCCTCCTTTGGCAACTGTGTTTCTTCTCTCTGTGCCCCACTTCTCTGTATTTACTGAAGAGGAGCTGTATGGTGACAGCAGGGCCTCCATTATTCATGTATCTGTTCACATGCTGTCAGCAGGTTGCAGGTCTCCTTCTCTGGTCAGCTTGTCCCTTCAGTATGAGAGGCCTGCCTAGGGCTTGGAGGTGCCTCTGGTGGCATTTAGTCTGCTGAAAAGGTGCCCTCTGAAGTAAAACAAGTGTCAAAGCCCTTCAGTGCTGTGGTAAGCACCAGCACTCACTTTGGTGGTTCCCAGTCCCATGCTTATACTGATGCCAGCCCTGGGGCCACCAGAGCTCTCTGTCCACTCTTGGACATGTCCTTTGATTTACTCTCTTCTAAGAGCTGCCTGGCAAGTGATTGTCATTCTCATCAAATCATTAAGTAAGCCACAAGTGGCTTGCAGAGGCAGCTGAAGGGCCTCACCATCTCAATCCAGACGTTGGTGGTGAGGGTCTCCTCCCGCTCGTTCTGGCAAGGAAGGAAAACGGGGAGATGGCTTTAGCATCCTGCCCTCCTCTGCCCATTGCTCCACATGTGGGGGCAAATTCTATCCCACTATGGGGACCAGGGGGTCTCTCACCAGGGAGATGAGGTTGGTGAGGGTGAGCTTGAGGGTGACATCGATGACCTCATCCCCACGCAGCGCTGGGCGCAGGCTCTGGTTGTAGTTGCTCATGAGGTCCTGCCACAGACACAGGAGTTCCCACGCAGCCAGCCCAACAGACTTGGTTGTAGATGGAAGAGCTGAGGGAGGTCTTTCTTCTCAGGGGAGGGTTTTGGGTCTCACACTGTCCTGCCTGACACAAGTGCATAAACCAACAGAAGTAGGACGCCAGGTTCTGGGATAAAGCCATGTTGGATACCACTGGCTACAGAGAGGAGAAGGCTTTCTGCACTGTGTGTGCTTACAGACCTGCCTGTGGTTCAGCCCTGCCTAGATAGCTAATGTTTATGTGAGGCTCCGTGTTGTCTCACCATGCCAAAGGCTTTTGTCAAATCAGTTAAAGTGAGGACTGACATTCATTGCCTTGTTTCTCCTGGAGTTGTTGAGCTGAGGAAATTCTGCCCAATATTCCCCATTTTCAGGGCAGCTGCTCTGATTCCAGAATTTTGTTTGCTGTGCTGTGCAACTGCAGCCAGTGGCCGAGAACCTAAGGGACCTCCAGCTGTGACCTGCCATCTTTCTGATGTATCTGCTTCCCAGCAAAAGTTGTAGCAAGCTTGATTGTCCCCAGGCCCGGGCTTTGCAGCCCCTCTGGGGTGGCTGCTGTGCTTTCTCTCAGTACTGTCAGCACCCCTCAGCACATGCTGGGCTTGTCTGCTGAGGGTGCCCCCTCCCCTGAGCCTCAGGATATGGTGGAGCTACCACAGGAAAGAGCCATGTGCATGGTCTGGCAACTGGCATGTAAGCACCTGCATTTTTTACTATGGATACAGCTTGTCATCTTCATACTCTTCCAGAGACTGGAATTTCTCGAGCTCTCTCTTGGAAAACTCCATGCTTAAGTGTATGTAAGCAACTTGAATCTTGTTCTTGATGGCCATCAGTTCGTGCCTCCATGTGTAACGTAAGACAGACCATTTTGTCCTGTTTCTGTGCTTCCCCAGCTCAGCTGCCTCCTTCTCTCTGTGCCTGCTTGGCCTTTGCCTGTAGTTGCCCTCCCAACACTCCCCCCTTCCAGCCCCTGGCATCCTGCATTGCCCATCTTCTTCTGTAGGTTCTGTGCTCCCCTGCATTTGTAAATTTCTGGGGATTCCCAAATCCAGAGTACACTGTCTTTGAGCTAAACAGCGATGGTTTTGATGTATGTCATTGATTTCAGATGATGGATGTAGTAATTTCTGCTTCTGTGATGAGTTATAATAATGTCACCTGCTACAGGAGTTATTATATATTTTATCAACTCTGCAGGTCTTGCAAGGTCTTTGCATTAAATCTAGGCAGGTTGGTGAAGAGAAGGCAGAGTTCATAACTAGATTTCACTGGGACTTTATAATTTCTGTTTGATTTTTGATGCAGAGTATGAGATCTGCTGGAGCCCACATGGGATTAAACACATCTAAGGCATTACCTGGAGTGTTTGTAAACTCTACAGGAAATCCTGGGAAACATCTGATCCACTGCTCAGCCAGAATAAGATGCTTTACATGTGTGATGCCCCTGCGGAGCCTCAGCTCCAGCACTGGTTCAGCTGGGTGACGTGCTGCCCCAACTGGTCCAGCACGGGAAAGCCAGAGGAAACCCAACCTCTTTCTTGAGATGTCAAGGCTTTTCAGAGAGCCTATTGACATGTGCCTGCACTTGGGTGTGTAGGTGGGAGAGGAGACCTGGGTCAGGGCCTGGGACAGTGTCAGGACACAGCTCC